TAATGTTATACCCGAATAGATTTCCATATGCTGGAAAATCGTTAATTGTGCCAAACAACATCGCCCTCAAATTGAAACTTTCTTTCCTATATCCATCATAAACCTCCACACCGTTCTCCCACAAAATCTTCAAATCTTCGATTAAAGGTTTCAAGTATACATCTATGTCATTCCATGGTTGTTTAGGCCCAAAAATTAACATAGATAACATCATGTACTTGCTCTTCATACATAGCCATGGAGGTAGGTTATAAATCATAAGAATCACAGGCCATGTGGAATGTGAGATACTTTGAAGACCATGCGGGTTCATTCCATCCGTAGATAATGCCAAGCGAAGGTTTCTTGTTTCTCCTCCAAAATCAGGATAATCATTATCAATTTTCTTCCACTGTGATGCATCTGCCGGATGTCGAAACTTTCCATAGATAATTCTTTCATTTGCATGCCAAGTCAAGTGTCTAGCATCGGTTTCACTACGAAACATGCGTCTAAATCTCAGAATAATAGGAAAATACCATAAGACTTTCACTGGAGATAATTTTTTCTTATATCGAGATAAACCGCACTTTGGGCACTCATTCAACGATGCATATTCGTTTTGAAACAAAATACAATCATTTAGACATGCATGTATCTTATCATAGCTCATGCCAATAGAGCACAACATTTTTTTGGCCTCGTAGGTTCGATTAGGAAGAACATTATCCTCAGGAGGCATATCTCTCAAAAGGGCTAATAACTGTGTGAAACTTTTATGCGACCATCCATTGCGCGCCTTTAAGTTGTACAATTTTAATACCACAGACAATCTTGTGAATTTGGGGCAATCTTTATACAACGGTTTCTCCGCATCGCTTACCAACCTCTCAAACATTTTGGGAAAATCTTGAAGATCTTCTTCAAGTGCTTCTGCAATCTCTTCAACTCGATCATAATCATATGTATCCGTGGCATTGTCGTACAAAACATAGGTCGCATTACTTTTCACCCCCGGTTCAACATTCTCGATGCTTTTCTCACCATGAAATATCCAACACATATAACTTCGATCAATTCCGCGCATTAGTAAATGCGATTTCAATCCATCTGCGTCAACCCGACCCACATAACAACAACCCAAGCAAGGACATTTCATTCTATTTGGGTCTTCAGCGTGTTCAACAGCAAACTTAACGAACTCTAATACCCCATTCTCGTACTCTTTTTACAATCGATCGGCACACATCCATTTTTTATCCATGGTTTTAACTATTATCTAAGTTAAACAAAAACACTAATTAGGGCATAAAACGGTATAATGCGTTTCTTCCAAAACACAATGTATACACGGATTTTATTATTCAAGTGAATATGTCATTGTTACGTGAACCTCTTGTGTTGATTATTACTAACTTGGATTATAAGCAATGTGGTGGGAGTACAATGAATTTAAAGAGTCTGTGTTAGCAACAAAAATCAAACATGTGATTAGAACAATTCTAGAAATGAGGATTGTAACGTGTGAGTGAAAGGAGCATAGCCACGAATATGGTCCAACCTTAGAGGCCTAGTTCATGTTATTGTTGTGGTCCTATAACATATTCAATCAATGATCGTCAACATTACAATTTTAGAGACATTAGCTTAGTTGTGAACTCATTCGAAGATTCATGATTTGTGTTATTTTTTACTATTACTAAGTTGAATACTAGATTGAACAAACAGAAACCTATGATCCAAACTCAAGTAAACCAGAAAAAGTCCTCTCGCCGCGATAAACTCATTGAAAGGACCATTAACATTAAGAGTACTAGTAATCACGGTAACATTCCTCTCAGACATAACCGCCGCAAAAGACCCCGAACCAATTCCAATATCAAAACCTATTCTAATCCCACCATTTCCTAATTGCAAAACATCATCAACAAGAAAATCATTCTTACTCTTAGGCTTAACAAATCTTTGATTCTCATATCCATTAACCAAATCAAAGCAATGAACACAATCTCTATTCAGTTTCCTACCATTCAAACACTCGAAACTCTTGCAATTAAAACCATTCCAATTCACTGTTTTATTACTAACAGGCTTCCATAGTGAAACCGGAAAAGGATGAAGAAATTTTACCTTAGATGAAACTGATTTTGCGAAACTTCTTCTTCTAGGTAAAGGCTCACACTGTTTTTGAATCAGTTTCTCTATCACGAGGAGATGGTGGTGTGCCTGATGTTGTAGGGCGCATCCAAACAAGTGTCTCTGCGGGTGAAACAGTAAAACTGAACCATTAGAATAATCCACATCAGATACTATAATCAAAATCAAAATACAAATTCTCGAATCCAAATGTTCCCATTAAATTTACCATACTTTGTATCACTTACATAAGATCTCATTTAAATGTCAAAGGGGATTTATTGTGTAATGAACTAACTAACTCGATCAATAAATAACAGTCAGTACTGCAGTATGAAGAGCAAACGTTACCTGTATTCAGTTTCCTACCATTCACTTATTCCTATATTCAATGGGACAAACTTGCTCCAATCTCTTTATAACTGCAATCACAGGACAAAGTAGAGTTAAGTAAAGTTATCTTGAGTTACAAATTCTTAGGGTAATATGTTCCACATCAATACAGATAATTTTCTAGAACATGAACTTGATATCACTTTGGTAGAAGCCTAAAGTTCAACATAATACAAATAATTTTTTCTTTACTGTTCCTTCTACTTTTCTGGTACATATTAAACTGCCACACGTGGAGGAACAAGCGAAGTAATCAACAGATGAAAGGAGCATTAATTGGTGCACTATTTTACCATCTTTATCAATACATAAATACATAGAATGAGTTGGTTTGGTAGCTGGAAAACTAAATTAATACTTAGTGGGTTCATATGGTTTTCTATAATCCTCCAAAGTTTGTGGGACATTATGATGTCATGAGGGACCTACCCTATAGGGAATGAAAGTGAAAATAACTGTAATGGATTCTTGATAGAATTACCTACTAGAATCACTAAACAACATGGGCAGAGTGTATTAAAGTCGAAAAGGAATGGATTCTTTGATTCTAATATCCATTAACCAAATCAAAGCAATGAACACAATCTCTATTCAGTTTCCTACCATTCAAACCACTCGAAACTGTTTTATTACTAACAGGCTTCCATAGTGAAACCGGAAAAGGATGAAGAAATTTTACCTTAGATGAAACTGATTTTGTGAAACTTCTTCTTCACGAGGAGATGGTGGTGTGCCTGATGTTGTAAGCCGTTTCCCAACAACAGCTTTCTGGACCCTCACGTGCCTCTGGCCCTTGCCCTCGTAGAACCGGAGAATCCGAAGTTTGCAACGAGACAACGAATCAGAAGCTTTCTGGCATGAACCACAGTTGGACGGTGAGGAGGGAGGAGACGAGTTGGAGAAGAAGATGAACATGAGCGTTTTCTGGGTGTGTGGGGTTTCGTTTGTATAAAGTGGGGTTTTTGAAATCTGATAACCAATTTAGGGATTTAGAAACTATTTAATTACCTTAGACAGCGCTTTCAAGAAGCGCTGCTAAAGGTATTACCTAGCAACGCTTTAGAGTAATGCCTTTAGCAGCGCTTCTTGAAAGCGCTGTCTAAGGTATACTCTTTAGCAGCGCTTCTGAAAAGCATTGTCTAAGGTATACCCTTTAGCAGCGCTTTAGGCTTTAGCAATGCTTCCTAGAATAACACCTTTAGCAGCGCTTTTAGTAAGCGCTGTCTAAAGTATAACCTTTAGCAGCACTTATTCTAATTTTTTTTTACTGAAAACCTATAGCAGCGCTTAGGGAAAGGAAGCGCTGTCTATGGTAAGGCCTATAGCAGCGCTTATAATAAGCGTTGTCTATAGTATACCTTTAGCAGCGCTTACTCTAATTTTTTAATTTTTTTTTACTGAAAACCTATAGCAGCGCTTAGGGCATAAGCGCTGTCTATGTGGCGCTGTCTAAATTCAATTTTGGCATAGTGATTATTTATCAAATTTAATGATTAACGTTCAATTCTCTTTATCTCTTATTTTAAAAATTCTCCTTATATATATATATATATATATATATATATATATATATATATATATATATATATATATATATATATATATATATATATATATATATATATATATATATATATATATATATATATATATATATATATATATATATATATATATATATATATATATATATATATATATATATATATATATATATATATATTCAAAATACTAAAGATGAACTCTTCCTAAAATATTATGAATAATATGTGATGTGATAGTAACTTAAAAAATTATTCACATTGTTTTACATGTGAAAAGTTAATTTGAGACTACATTACATAATAATGTTCAAAAACTTATTTTTAAATATTATCTCAATTATCATTATTCTATTAATTTAACATATATAATATTTAAAAATACAAAATTATTTGTATACATGCGCATCACTCGGGTCACAAATCTAGTGTTTATAATTTATGAGATTAAAATATCAAATATTTGTAATTTGGCCTTTCTCAATAGTGAGTGTATTCATTTATATGGATATGCTCTCCGATCTACTTGCATCATTGTTTCAGCTCGAGAATACAAGGAGTTACAGTCAAACCAGATTCTAATACAATATTTGAAACAAACCGGCTCTAAGTTTATAGATTCTCTCATTTATAAATCATTCAACATCTTAAACATGAAACTGGTACTCACACTTTTACACTTGATATACCAATAAGGGTCCACTTTCTAAGTTTGAAATTTAAGTGACAGTTTACTTGGTGAATGTGTCCCAATCCAATGACAAAGTTTACTAAGTTATAGTTTACCTTATGATAACAAGTGAGCCTCTAGTCTTTATATATAGCTACTTCTACCATTTCTCTTTCTCAATTAATTGCTTTCTTTGATATATCACTAGTCACTACCATCTTGCTGGCTACCTCTCATTTTCCTTATACTTTATCTCTATATAATAATATATAACATCTCTAATGGAAACCAAAGATGATTATACCCAAGATGGCACTGTTGATTTCCGTGGCAAACCTGCTGTTCCATCCAAAACTGGCAAATGGAAAGCTTGCGCTTTTCTCGTTGGTAAGACCATACAAACATGCATGTTTTGTGTCTGATATTTTCTTAGATTCTGTATAATTGTTAATATGTGAAATTGATAATAAGTTTATATTATTTCAGGTTATGAAGCATTTGAAAGAATGGCTTTCTATGGTGTAGCATCAAACTTGGTGAATTACCTTACAACACAGCTTCATGAAGACACTGTTTCATCGGTTAGGAATGTGAATACTTGGTCAGGATCTGTTTGGATTACACCAATTCTTGGTGCTTACATAGCCGATTCCCACTTGGGTCGATTCTGGACTTTCACCCTCTCATCTCTCATTTATGTCTTGGTATAATTAACCCAATCATAATCTTTAAATTACAATTTCAATATCATTATATTAGATTCTCCCTGCCTCTAGAGATTAGTCCGTGCAGTTGTGTGCAGAGGATGTCTGGTTTCTATTGGAAAAAATCAAGGCCACTAATTGCATTCGTGGGATACAATACTATGTATTGTCATTTGTCAACATTAATTAAATATTGTCCAAAACAAGCTTAACAATGAAGTTATTGGCCCACTTTACTTACCTTATTATTAAGGCACAGTGATGTTATAGTATTATGCATTAATTATATTTGTTTTTGTGACAGGGAATGACACTTCTTACTATAGCTGTATCACTCAAGAGTTTGAAACCAACATGCACAAATGGAGTTTGTAACAAAGCCTCGACATCACAAGTTGCATTTTTCTATACAGCACTTTACACTATGGCAATTGGGGCAGGTGGGACAAAACCAAATATATCAACCTTTGGTGCTGACCAGTTTGATGATTTTAATCCTCGTGAGAAAGAGTTAAAGGCTTCTTTCTTTAACTGGTGGATGTTTACGTCCTTTTTAGGTGCCTTGATTGCAACTTTAGGCCTTGTATACATTCAAGAGAATTTAGGATGGGGACTTGGATATGGTATTCCTACTGCTGGTTTGTTATTGTCCTTGGTTATTTTCTATATAGGGACGCCGATTTATCGACATAAAGTTAGGACTACTAAAAGTCCTGCTAGGGACATTATTCGTGTCCTTATTGCTGCCTTTAAGAACAGAAAACTTCAACTTCCTAGTAATCCTTCAGATCTGCATGAGTTTGAGATGGAATATAATGTTGGCAGGGGAAAACGGCAAGTCTATCACACTCCAACTTTGAGGTCAGTAAATTTTAAAAGCCTTATATGTTTGCACTTTGCATTCTACTAAATCTGTTTTCGCATTGATGGTGAGTTTAGCTATAGTGTGCCACTGTGTTTTAAGAAATTTTATTAAACTCACCGTCAATACAAATATACACTAATGGAGAAAAGGAATTTTCCATCTATATTAGACACACATCAATGTAATAGAGAATCTAGGAAATGGTCCCATGTCCTAAGATTACGTGTTCCTCATTTTTAATGCCTTGGCCCACAAGCAATCAACTTAATTAACGTCCAATTTTATTTACTATATATGAACAAGGGTGGGGCATCAAGAGTGGTTGAGTTTAGAAGATTTGTCTAGTTATTAATTTCATTGAATTTCTCAATCTAACAGCTTTGCAACCACAAATATGATATCTTAATATCAAATTTGGCATATTGACTTGAATCAGCGGGTTACACTCATTTAACTCAACATATATCACATATCAATTGAGCTACACCATCCACTCCATTGCAGTTAATATTCGATTTTACTATTCAAACATGAATTTGCTCTCACTCACTGCTCATCATGCAAGTTGTTTCTTCTAAGTGCACTCTACACGTAATGCTATGAGGCCCACTTTATTGAATAGTCACTATCTTTCAGCCAATTATTCCAATATAGGAAATGTGTAACAGTTGTGTCCACCAATCATTACTGTGGAAAACTATTACAAGCACCAGTAGTTGATATCACCAACCATAACTCATTGCATGCTAAAGAGGGCGAAATCTACTGTCCACACATATATGCATTCTTCTAGGTGCATAGATACACACATAGGATAGCCATAGAATGGATCCATTACCATAAGAAGATTGGAACTTGGAACATTTCATAACTACTTCTTTATGAAAGGGAAAAAAATTTAAATTCTTTAATCAATTCTGTTAGCTAGAAAGTGATTGAAAAACATGAATTAACCATGATTTTCAATAACTTGCTATACTAAACTAAAAAGTGATAGAAACTCACTCGACTCGGGACTAAATTAAACATGGAATTAACCATTGCTGGAGTGAATTCATTTCAGGTTTTTGGACAAAGCTGCTATTAAAAAAGATCCTACTACAGGTTCATCAAGAGTACCAATGACAGTAAACCAAGTAGAAGGCGCAAAACTAATCTTTGGTATGCTCCTAATATGGCTAGTAACACTGATTCCAAGCACCATTTGGGCACAAATCAACACTCTTTTTGTGAAACAAGGCACCACCTTAGACAGAAACCTTGGTCCTAATTTCAAAATTCCAGCGGCATCTCTTGGTAGCTTTGTAACCCTCTCCATGTTAGTCTCAGTGCCAATGTACGACCGACTTTTCGTTCCATTCATGCGCCAGAGAACCGGCCACCCTAGGGGAATCACATTGCTTCAAAGACTCGGAATTGGATTTTCAATCCAAATCATAGCAATTGCAATTGCTTATGCAGTCGAAGTTAGAAGAATTCATGTCATAAAAGAGAATCACATTCTGGGTCCTAAAGATATTGTCCCTATGAGTATATTTTGGCTGTTACCGCAATATGTTCTTATTGGTATAGCAGATGTTTTCAATGCAATTGGATTGTTGGAATTTTTCTATGATCAATCCCCGGAAGATATGCAGAGTCTTGGAACAACTTTCTTCACGAGTGGAATCGGTGTTGGGAATTTCTTGAACAGTTTTTTGGTGACAATGACTGATAAGATAACAGGAAGAGGGTATAGAAAAAGCTGGATAGCTGATAACTTGAATGACTCTCACTTGGATTACTATTATGGCTTTCTTTTAATCATGTCAAGTGTTAATTTGTTGGTGTTTCTTTGGGTTTCAAGTAGGTACATTTACAAGAAGGAGCCAACAAGGGTCAAAGAGGCGCTTTGCGTTCAAATGGAGGTTAACCCGACTTTGGATGCATCTCTTGGTTTACAAGTATGAAAACTGAGATATGGTCCTACAGCCGCTGCACGGTGCAGTGCAGTGGGAACCGTTGAATCCAATTAGAGAAACAGCGCCCGCGGCCAATAATGGTGAGGAATCCAAATCCATGAAAACTAGCTAATTAAGTAGGTATGGAGCAAGTTCAACTATAAAATATCCTCGTTACACCAGGTGTAATCTTTTGTAAATTATGTGTGGAATATTAGTTTATATTTCTTGCTTTTGCCAATATAGTTTCATGTGTAAATACAATGTTTCAATCTCCTTTTATATATGGAATAAGATATATGTTAAATATCTAAGCATTCAATTAGAGGAATATTCATGACCCTCAAATAGATATCTAAAGATGGAGCGAACTCGAATATTTCAGCACAGATGATAAGTGGCTCTTTTCGACACTCCCTTGGTGTCTCCAACTTCATCATCCCTCCATGTCTTCCTTGCGAAAAGGACAAAGAAAGTATGTAAAAAGCATTTAAATACGTTGGTTGAGCCAATGCATGAGTTGGCTTAACAGCAGCAATTTCATCATCAGCTACATCTGTAATTTCTTTTTTCATTTGAATAGTTTTCGGATATAACCCTCTTCGGAACCAAGGATTTTCCATTATTTTAACAGTAGAAATCAAGAGCTTCTATCAGTTGTTGGAAGTATTTTCTTGCTTGATTCTCGCTTAATCTGCCTTTTTCTATTTTCTCAAAAAGGTTTCCACCACCTTTGGCATACTCTATGATCAAGTAAATCTTTGTTTTGGTAGCAGTATTAGAGATGAATCTTGAGATTCATCTTGAATCTTGAATACTTGATTTGAGTGTGAGAGAGATGAAGAGATAAAGTGTAATTGTATTGTATATTGGTTAAAGCAATATAACAGTAGAGGGAGTATTTAAAGTAATGATACAGGGTGCAAAGTAATAGAAAAACGAAAATGGACAGAAAAGAGAATTGGGCCTAACCACTACAAACTCAATACATAAGTTCAATAGTATACTCTAACACCCCCCTCAAACTGAAAGGTAGTGCTTTATGTTAGCAACCTTAAGTTAGCTTCTCAGGTCTTGAAATGCAGAAGTCCCTAACGGCTTGGTGAAAGTATCCGCGATTTACATAGCAGCAGGAACATGTTGGATCAACATTCTATCAGCAACAACACTCCCTCTTACGAAATGGATATCAAGTTTTGTATGCTTCATGTGAGCATGAAGAACCAGATTATGCGAAAGCAGAACGTCACTTAAGTTATCACAGAGCAAAGTGGGAGTATGAAACAGAATTTGCAGTTCAAACAACAACGATTCCAACCATAACAGTTCAAAAGTGGAATGAGCCAATGCCCTGTACTCAGTTTCAGTGCTAGAACGAACTACTAAAGACTGCTTTTTGGAACTCCAAGCCACAAAATTTAGACCAAAATAGATACAATATCCTGATGTTGAATGCCTATCATCTGGGTCACTAGCCCAGTCAGAGTCACTGTAAGCACGTAAAGAAAACTTTGAGACTGAAACAGAAGGAGATAGCATGAGTCCATGCCTTGAGGTGCCACTAAGATACTGCAGTACACGTTTGACAGCAACCTAGTGAGTATCGAGGGGACATGTCATAAATTGACACGCCTTGTTCACACCGTAGGTAATATCTGGTCTAGTCAAGGTGATATATTGTAAAGCACCAACAACAGATCTATACAGCTAAGGATCAGTCATAAGATTTGTGCCATGCTTGTTAAGTTTGCACGTGCTTAGCATAGGCGTAGGAACACCATTAGCAGTAAGCATTTTTGCTCTTGTCAGCAAGTCTTGAATGTATTTGGACTGAGTTAAGAACATAGAGCCATTTCTGCAAAAGGTTACTTCAATTCCTAGAAAGTACTGAGGTCTGCCCGACTTTTTCAATGCAAAGGTATTATGCAGTTTGCTAATCAGATCATGGATAAGAGGTGTACTGGATCCTGTTATCAGAATATCATCAACGTAGACAAGAGCATATAGTGTGATATCTTGTTTGTGGCAGACAAATAGAGAGTTGTCACATTTGGAGGCAGTAAACCCAAAATGGAGAAGAGAATGAGTCAGCTTTTCATACCAATCACATGGGGCTTGCTTGAGGCCATAAATTGCCTTGTTGAGTTTAGATTTTACCTTATGCTTTAGGATAGTCCTTTCATCTCCTCCCATCTTCTTTAATTTCAAAAATCTTCTCCCTCCTTTTGAAAATACTTCTCGTTTTTATAAACTCGAACCGCTTTCATAATAAACCTCGACTTTGTCGAGTGCCTTTTATTTTAAAACTTCTTTTCTTTAAACAAACTTCAATTCATTTAATCATACTTCGACATCTTTCAAAATTAACAAAAAATACTTCAACTCATTCCAACCCTTTTGTGCGCTCGAGCACCCTTTTACCCTTTAAAACTTTTTTCAAGATGAGACATGATTCATTGATAGTCGAGCAACATTCTCCTATCTCCATGGTTATAAAGGTGTCGACTTTTCTACTTGAATGCTAGAGGCATTCTCAAATCCTCACTCTTGCTGACGCAGAGTTCATCTTTCTCACACCTTGTGGGCATTAGTCGAGATTTCTCTCCTAACAATGACGACTTGTCTCTTCGTTTAAAATCAATTAACAGACAAGTCTTTTCTAGCCGAACTACGGTGCTCTTACTTTCCCATTGCACGAGGGAGTACGTAGGCACTAAGTCTTACGATTCAATGCGAGCAACAAAAATAATAAAAAATATTTCATTTTCTTTTGTTTACAAATACTCATTCATTCTTTTTATTTAGCTAGTAAACCTTTACATGACACTCCTTTTAAAAGGAAACCAAACAAAGTGGATCCTGCGGAGTACCGTAGATGCCTAGGGTGCTAATACCTTCCCTTTACATAACCGACCCCCGTACCTCGATCTCTGATCTTTTACTTCATTTTGGGTTTTGTTCGCCTTTTCCCATTTTCCTTTGGAAACAATAAAGTGCGGTGGTGACTTCATTGTGTTGAGTCAAGTCAATTGATGGATTAAATCTCAAATCTTTACCCCTACATTCTTTTTCTATCATTACTGTCGCATTTCGTTCATCTTTTAGTCCTTGCCGACGGCGGTGCACGACAAAAAATTGGCGACTTCACTGGGGACAGATTGACCTATTGATGGTTCATTCCTAAGTGGGTCAATCCTAACTTTGTTTGTTTCTTTTCTATGAGTGTTTATATATTGTTTTACTTGTTGTTTATTACTTCCCATTATTCTATATATATGTCTGTCTGGATTTTCCTGGTTTTCAGGGGCTTGGTGATTTCTTATAAGTCTTCTACCCGGACTTTGGGAAAACTTAAGATAGGACGGGAGGTATAGTCATGTTAATTTTGAGGGAGTAATCCCAAAAAAGGAGACATGAGATCCCCCACTCAGTGGAGGCCCCTTTGACTGTAGTGTCGTTTACCGAGTAATTGGGATGACGTACTGCTTTCGACCTGGGAGCCTTCTGAAGCTGAGGACCGTAGATTACTTAACCCATCTTGGCCTTTTAGGTGTAGTGCGGAAGCTATGACGGAGTAATCCTGAAATAGTTCTCACGCGATACTACGCTCGGATGAGTTTTTCCTGAGAATATTACTAATTACCGAGTTAATTGGGACGTTGGTAATATCCGAAGGAAGAATGTAGACTTTGGGAACCTCTTAGAACCCTTGTTCAGCAGGTGATAACCGTTAGTCCATACTTTATGGGTTGTACCTTTGACTCCAGGCTCGTGACTCTGAACCCTGTGATCCTGTTACTGCGCAGTGCATTGCATAACATTGCATATCATTTTCTCCCTCTGCATCATTTTGCATACATCCAGGTTGTTCAGCATCTTATTATCAGTTGCTTCTTTCTTCCAGTTAGTCATCTACCGTCAAGATGATTCCTCAACACAACTACGGTACTAGAGTTGCTGTCAGATTGAGAATGGAAAACCAAGAAAAACACAACATGGAAGTCAGAATGGAAATCGACGAGTTGAAGTCAGGCATGGCCAAACTTACTGAGATGATGCAAGTCCCGATTTTCAGAGGAGAGCCACCTCAAAGGATTGTGATATCTGAAATCCCAACTACTGTTGTTGACACTCAACCTATCCAGCATACATCTACTATTTGGCCAGAGTTTGGGTTGCCTCATAACTACTCTCTGCCTGTTGCAATTACTTTAATGGTTGGCCAGTCTTCTCGACCAGTCTTTCAGGCTCCAGTTTTCACTGAACCTCAGCCAATCGTTCATACTACTTCTCATCAACCTACTGCACAAGCTTCTTTTGGTAACCCTCTCTTTGAGTACCGTGCTGCCAGTCCTCGAAGTATGAGTCAGGGGGACCTTGGTGAGTTTGAAGAGTTCAGAGAACAATATCATACTTTAGAGAAGAGACTCCGGGCTATGGAAGGAATGAGTTCTTTAGTGTCGATGCTAACAACATGAGCCTAGTTTCTGATCTGGTTATGCCTGCAAAGTTCAAGACTCCCGAGTTTGAGAAATACCGGGGGCACACTTGTCCAAGAAGTTACTTGGTGATGTACTTTCGAAAGATGTCTGCTTACACAAAGAATGACAAGCTTCTTATCCATTGTTTCCAAGATAGTCTGAGTGGAGCTTCATTGAAATGGTATATGGGACTTGAGAAAGGCCGTATCCAATGCTTCCAAGATCTTGTCGATGTTTTCATAAAGCAATACAAATACAACCTTGACATGGCACCTAATCGTCGCCAACTGCAAAATATGTCTCAGAATGAGAAAGAATCTTTCAAGGAGTATGCTCAACGATGGAGAGAATTGACATCTCAAGTTGAACCACCTCTGGCAGAGAAAGAGCTAACTGGTTTGTTCATGGATACTTTGTCCCCTTTCTTTTGGGAGAAGATGATTGGTAGTATGTCTTCCAGCTTCACATACCTGGTGACAATTGGCCAAAGATTAGAAGAAGGAACCAAGAATGGTAAAGTGTCTAAAGTTGCTGAATCTTCTAATGGTGCAAAGAAATACCTTGGGAACATTCATAAGAAGAAAGAGGTAGAAGCCAATGTTGTCTCGACTGAGAGAAAAGGACCCCGCCGTAGGCCTCAATACATTGATCAACCACAAGTAGCAGCTGTTACTCCTGCGGTCAATGCTCAACCAGTTCAGGTTCCTCAACAACAAAATATTGCGCAAAATCAGAATCGTTATATAGGGAATAAGGCTCAACTTGATCCCATTCCTATGACATACACTGAATTATACCCTGTATTGGTGCAAAAGGGCTTGATTAAAACTAGGCCTCTGATTCCTCGAAATCCTCCTCCAGCCGGGTTCAGATCTGACCTTCATTGTGAATTTCATCAGGGAGCTTTCAGTCATGATTTAGAGAGCTACTATGCATTGAAAAAAAGAGTGCAATAATTGGTGAAAGCAAATATTCTCATTTTCAAAGAGGCAGGTCCTAATGTTATCAATAATCCTTTTCCAAAACAAAGTTGCTGAAGACTGAGTCGGGGTACCCTCAAGTCACTTCCTAAAGCCAGTGTTTCAGACATGACAGCTAATCCTTGTTACTGATTAGTCACTAGGCCATCTTTCTTTCTGTTT